CTCCGAACCCGCGGCACCCAGCTGGTGGAGGAGGAGCTGGACCGAGCCCAGGAGCGCCTGGCCACCGCCCTGCAGAAGCTGGAGGAAGCCGAGAAGGCGGCTGATGAGAGCGAGAGGTGCGATGTGGGGAGGGAGCGATGAGTAGGGGGCCCTGGATGGTGGACAGATCCTGTCACCCTTGGCTTCACAGTGGTGGTTTGGGGGCTTCGGGGATTTGGGTCCAACAGGGCACTGCCCATCCCCTGCCCACGAGCGCTGCCAGGAGCCTGGCAGCCCTGGGCTGAAAGGGCTGAGCTTCAGGTTCCCACACACGGCGGAAGAGGCTGCAGAGAGGTTTTCTTACATGACCCTAAGGAGATTGTGTCAGCCCTCCTGCAGACCTCAAAGGGAGAGAGTGAGGTCAGAGCACAGCAAAGTCCCCAGATAAGTGTGTTCTTTGAAATTTCCAGAGCACTCTTGAATTCTGCAAAATGGTCTGGTGGTCATATGAATATCAGGCAGTAGCTAAAGCCAGAGGATGCTCAGAATATGTTTTCTGTCCCAGAGCAGACCCCTGTGCTCAGGAGAGCTCCTGGCACCCAGGAGTTGAGGTTGGCTGTCAGTAGCAGCGGCAGGGAAACAGCCTTGTTCAGAAACTTGCTTATGGAGGCCATTTCCCCATACTCCGGTGGCGATGGTGTAGCTCCGCGCGGCAGTCACACCTCCCAAGGAAAGGCTGTGCAGACGGAGGGCACTTAGATTTTATGGGACTAGCAGCCACTGCCCAGGAGCTTCCAGTGCCAGAAATGTCATTGTGTTCCTGATGTGACATGTTTCCTCAATGATAGCAGGCACTGAGTCAGTGGAGGAAAGAATTCTGTGTCGGTTGATCTGGGAAGTGCAGGATGGCCCTGATGCCCATCCACAATGTCCCTCTGGCACTGAGATCACCACAGGCTGCGTTGCTTTCTGGTTCTGAGCTTCATCCCTGAAAGAAATGGCTTTGCCACGGGAAGTTTCCTAGAGTTTCCTCAAGGCTGCTGGGCTGCCAGGCTGCTTCTGCAGAGATTGTGCCCAGCCCCACGCTACAGCTCCTCGCTCTGGTAGGTGGCCCCAGGGCGGCCTTGGGGCAGATTTGCAGTCTGGTTTCTTTAATTGTGTGCAGGAGCACTCCAGCACGACTCTGATGTACAGGATGTCCAACAAGTACCGGTGTCCCTGGGCCATGCCCCTCATCTCCAGAGCCAGAGAAGGGCTCCCCATCACAGGAGCCAGGTCACGGCCTACCGGACACAGCGGTAACATCTTCTATCTTGGGCTTTCCTCAGAGGCATGAAGGTCATCGAAAACAGGGCCATGAAAGACGAGGAGAAGATGGAGCTCCAGGAAATGCAGCTGAAGGAGGCAAAGCACATAGCCGAGGAGGCCGACCGCAAATATGAGGAGGTGAGTGACACCTCCCTCACACGTCCTCTACCCCGTGCGCTGCCACCACTCACAGGCCCTGGCATCCCCATGACCACCCCCTCACCGGGGTGCTGCCTGCCTCCCAGCAGGACCAACCTTTTGCTGCTGCCCACAGGTCGCCCGCAAGCTGGTTGTCCTTGAGGGAGAGCTGGAGCGCTCGGAGGAGCGGGCAGAAGTTGCAAAGAGATGAGTGAGCCGCAGGCGTGAGCTGTGCGCGTGCAGGGATGTCCCTTCCCCGGCAGCGCTGCTGGCAAGGTTCGGCCAGGGGAGGCCCCCAGGGCGATCACAGGCGTCGGCAGGGGAGTGGGCCTGCCCGGAGCATGTTTGACCCTGTTCTCTGCTTGCCCCGCCCCGGGGTGCCCCATCTTCCCACCCCCAGCCGAGTGAGACAGTTGGAAGAAGAGCTGCGGACCATGGACCAGACCCTCAAATCCCTCATGGAAGCAGAGGAAGAGGTACTGCAGCAGGGAAGCGGGGAGCCGCGCGGCAGCCCCTCTATCCATCTCCGTCTCTCGAACCATGCAAGCTACCTCTCTCCGCACCGCTGCCTTGGCCACAGCCTCACCTTTCCTCCCCCTCGCTCCGTGGGTAGCACATGTCAGAGCTGGGGCCCTGTGGACAGGGCGGGCTGGGCACGCTGGTGCAAGGCATGGCGGGAGAAGGGATGCTTCC